GCAGAGGGGAGTCCGAAGGCCATTTCAGTAAGTTTTTTATGGGCTAAGTATGCACATTTTCACTTGGGTGCATAGTTGTTCCCAGCAAATCAAACCGTTTTAGCATTTGTAATTGTGGCATTAATTAAAAACAGGCAATCCTAGCCTGCACTTAGTGGTGAAGTGCCCTTATTCCCAGGCTTTTCAGACCTCACCCTCTTAGGCAATCAAATTCTATGGCCCATGTGACTCATGAGCAGAACCCTAGGAACAATGTTGCTGGGAGCTCCTTCAACCAAGCTTGCAAAGCACCCACTGCAAACCTGGTATCCCACAAGCCTGGATGGAGCAGACACACAAGTGAAAACAATTACAGTTGATAAATATTTTATTTGAACACAAAATCACATTTCAAACAAGTTACAATCAAACTTCAACTTAAGGTAAGTCTCATTTAATTTTTAAATTATTATTCTGTTATCTTCCCAATTTTTGTTTTTCATCAAATATTGAAAGCAGAGGAAGATGGCATGGACTGTGGTTGATCAAAACCTGGAAGATGGAAACAAAGGGAAAGTTAGAAAAATATTTGAATTTGCAAACCTTTTTATTGTAGTATATTAGCAAGCTCAGAAGATATGGATGTTGTTTTATAATCACAAATAATCATACGAACGAGACTCTACATAGTTCATCATTGCTTGCAATGTAGAAAAAAAATAGCATGTAGATGTATATGAAGTACTGCACAAAATTGGTTGAACCTAGAGCAGATATGGTTTCAGACAATCATATTATCCTTCACTTTTATATTATATACGGTTATTTGTAATTCTTACTTATTCCTATTAGTCAGATAACCGTTCAATCATGACATTGATTATATTATGTCTTGAAATGGTATGTTCCACCTATAAGAAAATACACACAATTCAAAAACACAAGAATAAGTCAAATCAATTTATATTGTCATTTCTACTGGATCAGCGTGGTGCATGAACTATGACATCACTGTAATCAGGACAGGTCTGTGGTCAAATCATCATCTCCAGTACGGTACCAATACTAAACTGTCAAATTTCAAAAAAATTACCATCACAATTTTTAACCTTGGCCTTTCACCATCACTGATCAACATCCTAGAACAGGCTCTGAAACAAAAAAGTACACAAAAAATTTGAGCAGGGGAACTTCAGATTGATTATTCTATAGTTGATTGCAGATTCATTATTCTATGGTTGACTGCATAACAAAGCCTCAGAAATTTAATAGTTTTCCTCAACTTGACATTCAGATATATGCTTGTCAAGTGTTCATCACAGGCTTTCCTAAACAGTTTGTTAATTGATAACGAAGACATAACAAGTTACTTCATTAGGCAATTTATTTCATTAGGGAAAGTACATTTATTATGCCGAGGGGGGGATGAAGATGTTAAGGGGGGGCTCCGAAATATTTTCTGGCATTAAAGGGGGGGCTCTGAAAGTTCTTGATATACTGAAGGGGGGGGCTCTAAACTTTTCAAAGGTTTGACCCCAGTAAATTAAAGTTAAAATTTTTACATTTTCAGGTAAAATTTGCGTAATAAAGTAATTATTTTTGTGAAATGATAACCATTTTTGTAAAATACAGTCAATTTACATGTAATTTGTTTGCGAAATTTGCTTTAGAAAACGCCAGAAATTCAGTCCTAGAGCTTCAAAAATGTAAAAATTTTCTGGGGGAGGACCCCCAGACCACCTTTTCTCCCAAAACTTAGTATGAGAGTGCCAATACGTATAATCCTCTGACACCCCCCCCCCCCAAACATCAGATGCTTTGCTACGTCCCTGATGGTTGTATTTGAAACTGATTTCAGTTTTAAGATATCCTTAGTCTGCTCTTCTAAATGGATACATGAAATCACCTATAGCTTATTTTAAATTTTTTGGCGCCAGGTTTGTGAAGTAACTTACGCGCCAAAAAGTAGCAGTTCCAAAAACAAAAAAGCATATACGATTTGCAAAAATGATGTGTTCTATGTTTATGGGATATTTCATACAAACGGAATGGAAATTAAAGAAATTGAAGCATAATGGCACTTTTAATTTGCATGCATTTTTGACAGGCATACAAAGACATTTGCAACAGATGCCGGGAGACACTTGGGTGGGGGCGACATTCTGTAAGGTTCCAGCACATTACCCTGATCCAGGAAATCCTGGCCACTACATACTGTAGTGGCCACTACAAGACTCCGAATACGCTGAATGATGGACAACAACAACCGGTTGATAATTTCACCCCTAGAGCTAATTTAAAATGTTTTAAAGACGGTGCCATTTCATATGGCGCTAGTGAGGTGAAAGAAGCAGCAGATCGGTAGTTTTGTTGAGGAGAAGCACATGCTTGAGTATATCAGACATCTTGAGGAACTGCAAATTGTATCTATGATAAGAGAGAATTCTGGATTGTACTCCTTCGATTCCGAATTCTAGAGGGGGGCATTGAAAATTTTAAAAACTTGGAGGGGGGGGCATCGAAATTTACCGATAACCTCAACAGGGGCTTTGTAAAAATATGAGCTTTTTTCAAGACATCCCCCCCCCCCCCCCCTCGGTGTAATAAATGTACTTTCCCTTAGGGCCTGTTTATATGGAAGCCGGGCTGGCCTGATAAGCAAGACAGCCCGGTAAGCAAGATCTCGCTGTGTAGTTATTCTTATAGTAAAAATTATCATGCGTTTATATGGACAAGCGGGCTGGCCCGGTTGCCGAGATCTCGTTTGAAAGAGGCTACTCAGGCTAGATCTCGCTTACCGGGATGGAAATTTCTCCATATAAACATTTACAAGCGGGCTATCCCGGTTGCTGGGATGAAAGTTCAAAAATACCGCCGCAAGCTATTTTTAACAACTGTCAAAACAATACAATGTAACAAAATTGTCCTGGCAAGCTGGATGAAAGTTTCTCATATAAACACAAGAGAAATTCATCCCGCTTACCGGGCTGCCTCACTAAGTGGGCCAGCCCGGCTTCCACATAAACAGGCCCTTAATTGACATATGTTCCTCAACCAATTCAGAAGAATCCAAATTTTCCACATATACAATCTCACGAACATTTCTCATTTTCGGTACACAGAACACAAGTTGGGGATAACTTTTCATCAGTCGTTGCTTAAAAGCTCTATATCTAGATGCATCCACATTCTCAGTGTCCTTAGCAATGATAACAAATTTCTCCAGCAAATCTTTCATATACTTTATTTGCTTATTTCTGATGACCTCCATCTCAATTACTTTCTTACAGAATACATCATAAGACTTCTCGTACAGTGATACTCTCGTTGCTTCTTCGTCTCTCTGCTGAAAAATATTGTATAATTGCAGTAGCAAACTTTGTGATAGCGGATTTCCAGAGCTACACAGTCTTTCCCCTGGATTTGCATGAGTATCTGTTGATCGTTCTTTCTCTCAGCAGCTGTACGTAGAAGACCAGCATCAATTGTTTCTGCCAACATGAGTGGGGTTCTTCTCTTCTTAGTTACCTGGTGTGAAACAAAATAAATTATTAAACTAAATATCTGCTAATAACAAAGTTGGATATTTGTAGCATAGAAACTACTTTACCCTAAATAAACTAAATTGATCACAATTCAATATATTTTAAAACCAAACCTGAGAATGTTGTGCACATTGCGCTAGTATTATACCTATCAAAATACCATACCTTGTCTAGTGAGAACCATGAGGCGTCTCTTCCACAAATAATACATATCTCTGGGAGTACATGCGCGTTTCTTTTAGGCAGGGCCTTTATATTTATAGCTTCTGCGACTGATTGACGTGTATTAATTTTTCGCCTTGGTTCTATTGCCTCCACTTCCACGTGTGATTCTTCGGTAGAAGTTATAGTTTTAGAGCTAGTTCCTTCTCCTTTTTCTTCTTTTCTCTGTTATCTACGGATCTTCTCTTCATCACAAAATCTCTTCCAGCATTTCATATGATGGTTCCATTCTAAGTTAATGGTGTCAGAGTTCTAAGTTCTCGATGTATGAATAATGAATTGACAGATCCGTCATCGATGTTCTCGTACGATTTCTTAGCTATTTCAGCTTGTTGACATTTAAGTTTGGCCCATTTTGACCTACACTCAAGAAATTGCTTAAGCCTTTGGCGTGTAACTTTGCAAAGTTGCTCCGTAACGCCATCAAAATGCATAAAACATGAGGATATTCTAGTTTTATAAATATCTTCAGCCATGCTTATTTGCACTAGGGATGGGCCGATATCGATACCAAATACTCGATACTATCGATACCAGGGTTTTGAAGAAAAGTATCGATACTGGCAAGAAATATCGATGTTTCGATATTTCTGCGCCCGCGATATTTTTCATTTTGGTCAGCGGCATCATCATGAAAATGATACCAAAAAGCCTAAATAGGCGTAAATAGTTCATTTTCTATAGTGCTATAATGGTCCACGGGAAGGATGGGAGTTTCTGGTTATGTTGGTTGCAATCACTGACATATATTATTCAATGTTTATATTGTTAGCGTTGTGGCCGTTGTTAATGATTTCAAGTTGGGAAAATATCGATATCGGAAAAAAACGGCAAATATCGAGCAAATATCGTATCGAATGAAAAAGCTGGTATCGCCCATCCCTAATTTGCACAACTGAGCGTGTTTCCACTTCGAGTCTTCGAAGCATGTGCGTTGGTTGTGCGCGTGCGCAATGCGAGTTTGGCTGAGTTACGCATGCGTATTTGCTATCAAAACAATGGCGGTTCGAATATTTCGAAGCACGAAAATATCAAACTTTGGAGGGATTTTTCTCCCAATTGTGCACCTGTTTCGCTTGGGGAGCAACGGATTCTGATAAAGTAAGTTTTTATCTATTTATTCATGTGAAAATTACGTAGTTCCACGAGGGGTGCAACGGAATCCGTTTTCTAAGCATCTTTTGGATGCTCATCCCACGGCCTACATTCCAAGTGCTTTGAGAGTTGTCAACTTCATTGCAGCGCAAAACAAACGACAGGGACTCGAAAAACTTCCATTTAGTTTTGTAAACTTCAGAGGTGGCGCTGCCAGATTTCTTGCTTGCTTCTTGTCTCTTGTATTCTCGTTGGTAAATAGTTTTGAGTGTATGCCATTGACTCTTGATTTCTTCTTCAGTTCGTTTTTCAAAGCTTTCCTTAATTTTGTCCATGGCAAGCTTCCGTAGGTTTCGATCTCTATATCCCTGCGAAAAGTGATCCCAAAGCACTGGGTTGCTTTCGTACAGCTCAATCAGGGTTATAATTTCTTCGTCGCTCCACCGTTTCTCGGCTTCTTGCTTTAAACTTTGTAAAATATCTGGTTTCATATAGCTCAAACGTTTATAAAACTTCCAGGAACTTTCATAGTCCTTGTCTTCACTTTCTCGGCGGATTTCACGTACCATGGAAGAGCGCAACGAGTGAAGGACCTTTTTAACACTTTCTTCGTTGAGTGAAAATTTTAGACTCATTGCATTCAATGCTGTTGTTTTTTGTGCTCGAGTAAATACTGCACTAGTCATCCAAAGAGCAGTGTAACTCTCTAGCTCTGTTATATATCGTACCTTTTCGATGTCTGATAGCTTTCTACTAAAGAAAGCTTGGCGAAACCCTTCACTTTCATGAATTTCATCATCAACACTCATTTGTTCACCCACAGCAATTTCCGCCATTTTGACATACGACCAGACAAATTTTCCCGCCAAACGCGTCTTTGCCATGTCACACGTAATTTATGCGCTGCAACTTTGAGAAATTTGTTGCGAAAGTAGAACAGAGATGAACTTTTCCTGCGACTTGCAAAACTATATTTATTATTGGCTTTGGGAATGTAACACGTTGAAAAATGCCCTGCAACTTGAATTTCATGTTTTTGCGACACAAGTTGCAGACAAAAAAGCTACGTGTAACAGAAGCTTTAAGCCATATAACAAGACGCCTGCTCAAGCGTTCACACTGACCTGAAAATGACGACATACGTGCTATGTGCAATACACAGGAAAGGCTGAAAGGCGTGATCCTGAGGAGATGTTTTCGTAATGTCCAATGAAACACAAGTTTTACTCACAAATACAAACGTTATCCATAAATGCACATGGTCTCTGACCATACGATGCGCTATAAACGCAGACAACATTGTTAAAGTTTACATTATGTGAGTCAGTATTAACCGGTATTTTTACGGTATAAAATTCGAAAAACTTCGCAATCCAGATATCGCATTTCCAGAGAGGTTGCACGAAAAAAACCACCAAGTCAATTTCCAAGAAAGTGCAGAGTGGGAGAAATCCAAAATCCACACGAAAACGCGGTAAATTCGTTGACAAATGAAGAAATAGTTTGAGACTGAAATAGTCACTCATTAAATGGCCGCCATCTTGAAAATTGATCTGTATAGTGAACTGGAACGACTGGCACACTGGAAACTGAGCTTGCGATGCACTGATGGAAACTCCATTTCTCGACGACGAAAACTACGAACCCCACAGAAAACTGGTGATTTATGACACTTGACCTTTTAGGTCAGTGTAATAAACCGATTATTGACCTCGCTTGTTTGGTCTTTACTGTGAAATATCAGACCTCTGTTTTTTGCATGGACCTCGCTTTGTCGCTCGGTCCATACTAAAAAACCTCGGTCTGATATTTCACAGTACAGACCTCACGCTCGGTCAATAATTCCACTCTGCATGTTTTTTTTTACTCTGCCCCCCCCCCCCTTCCCATGTTATTTAATAGTCCACCCCCCAATTCGTATTATGTATATACATTACTTTGCCACTACAGCCTTTTTATCCATTCTTTGATTCTTTGATTGGATGAATTTGTTCGTTTATAGGGGAATGGGCGTTAGTACATCATCTTCTGCCGCTAGGTTGGGGTCTTTTGCAGCAAGTTACGTTGTTTGGCTGGTAAGTCTTACTATTTTAGCACAATTAGGCATTAGCCTTTCTCACGGCCAATTTTTCGCCATGTTTGGGGTACTGCCTCGCCCACGTTTGAGAGTCTCAGCACCACGAAAAGTGACATTTTAGTATCATAGTTGTTTGTACAATGGTAAATTTACAGTTACAACTTTTCATGTTTGAATAGTCTAGAATCTTTCAAGAGGGCGGACAGTACCCCAAAAATGGCGGATGTTCGCCTTCGTGAAAAAGACTAATTGAATAATACGAGAAGTTCTAATACTGTAATAGTCAGTCAAAGAGACTTACAATGAACTGTCTATAGTTTTCAAATTCAATTAATAACTTACTATGATGGTAATATTTTCCGCTGATGAAATCCATTGAACCTCTTTAGAAATGTGTTAACATCCTTGAAAATTTTAAATGTTTTTGCATGTCATGACTTTAGCAACACTAGTATTAAATAATTATACGTGCATTTGTTATCATGATATATAATATATTCTACTTTTTTCGCACAAAATTAGATCCGCATTCATTCCATACTGCCATTTGGAATTATGGGAGTAATTTGCCTTCAAGCCGCCATTGTAGCGATGTTTCTGCCTGAAACAAAGGGAAGACCAACTTTGGAAACCTTGGAAGATATGATCAATGACAATAGTGGTGCAAAAGTGGTCATGAGTGAAGTCATTGCAAACAGCAACGTGGAGAAAGATAACGGTGTAGATACACATATGTAATTGTAGCGATAACTAATATGTTAGACGTCTTAATTCTTATAAAAAATATGGTAGCTAGCAGTATACATTTCATTCATGAATCATGAGTAAAGAACTTGGTTAAACCTTGACTGCATTCGTCAGTGAAATATTACAAAACTATATGAAGAACTACAGTGGCGGAGCTAGCCATAGCAACAGGTCATGCTATGCATATTTTTAATGACTTGCATTATTCAAACCTTTAGTAATGTATTGTCTTTAACCTATTTAGATGCAGGTTTATTAGTATAACATGACCAGTTGCCGTGCATGGCTAGCTTCGCCACTGGAGAACTATAGCATTAGATTTTTCTTAATTTTTCCTTGTTCGACGGAAAGAACCGGCTCTACATTTTGAAATATGTTTTCCACTCCATGCAACCGCATGTCCGCATCGTACCGAAATGTAGCGTATGAACTAATTACTAGCGTCTTGCTGAACTAATTACTAGCAAAACAAAACTCTGCGGTACGTTATGATACAGCCGAATTGGAAAACAAGTTTTAGATGGATTTCTAACTGTAAATATTCTACCATTAGATATTAGATAATTGCATTTATGGATAGGTGAGACGACACCGGATACAGCTTTCCGTATCGACGTGAAAAATACCTATCCCTACCTTTTAGGAACGCTATTTTCAGAGGAATTATTGCAACGGATAGATGTTGTTACGCTCAGCTTCTGAAAGTTGTACATTCCGTATCGGATATAGGTGCTTTTTCGTGCCGCTACGGAAAACTATCCGGTATATAGTGTAAACGCAGAATTTAGTCAGACATAAAGTATGATTGGCGATTTGACTATAGTTGCATGTAATTGATTGTGATATGTCACTAGTTTCGATTGATTGATCCGTGATGTAATTCTGTTCAGATTATAATAGTGCTCTCTATAAATTATATCCATGCAGAGAACACCATAATTTGTAAATCCATAGAACACTATATATATAAATCCATAATTATACACCAAATTCAAAAAAGGTCGTCCTTCAAAAATGTTAAACTTCACACATTGAGCGCGCGCAAGGTAGTCAAGGATATTGCTTATTCGGAGCCTAAGATAGGACATTAGTTTAGTGAACCAAACAGCCCTAAATCAAAAGTGTTCACAAATATGCCCTAGCAAGGCTAACATTGTTGCAAAGCAAATTTCCCGAGTGTAAGACTCTAAACCTATCCCTAAGGAAAAACTATACCGAAAGAGGAAAGTGATCTACGACCAATCTCTTTAACGCCCTGCATCTCTAAGGTTATGGAGGAATTTGTAGCAGAATGGATTCTTGAAGATATTGCACATAAAATCGATCATAAACAGTTGGGCGTTACAAAAAACACATCTACAACTTTGTGCCTCTTGGATATGTTTCACAATTGGCTGTTAAATTTGGATACGCCCGGCCAGTGAATCTGTTTTCTAGATTTTAGCAAGGCCTTCGACGGCATCAACCTTAACATTTTGGTTACCAAGTTGGTCTTTTTAGGAGTACGAAGGTCATTATTGCCTTGGATATTCATGCAGTTTTTTTGTCAAATCGCAAACAACGAGTTAAGTTGGGTAAAGCTTTGTCAGAGTGGGTCACAGCGAATGCTGGTGTTCCACAAGGCACTAAATTGGGCCCTATCCTGTTTCTTGTTATGATCAACGATCTTGTCCTACCAACATGTGATTATTGGATACATGTAGATGATCTTACTGCTTCGGAGGTTATAGCCAAATACGGCAATTCAACAATCCAATCAGATCTTGATTATATATCTTCTTGGTCGTCTGCTAATTACATGAAGTTAAACGCGAAGAAATGTAAAGAGCTAAGGGTTTGTTTCTTCCATGATATACGCCTGTTTTGGAACCATTAACCATTGACGGAATACCAATAGATGTTGTTGACTGCCATAAGGTTTTGGAGTACTGTTGGTGGACAGTTTTGGAGTACTGTTGCCCAGTTTGGCACATCAACCTACCATCCTATCTCAGCGAACGTTTACAGAAGAGAGTTTTGAGAATAATTTTCCCAAGTTTATCATACAGAGAGGCACTGTCTGCTGCAGATTGTGTACGGCTGGATGATAACAGACGTTTGTGCCTTAATCTCTTCCAAAAGATCAATTCAAACGGCGATAATAAACTCAATCCGCTCATGCCTAATTCTAGGCTCAGCGAACATGGTCGGCCACTTCGTAACTATGATAGTTTTTCAATTTTTAAATGTAGTACGGACTATTTTGTGTGTGTTGGTGTTATGTACTCAGGTGAATATGATGTTTGTGATGTTACTCTGAGTGTGCATCCACATCGGGCAAGCTGAAAAGTTAGCTTGGCCACGGTGGCAATCGAACCCGCGACCTTAGGGATACTAGTCCAATGCTCTGCCAACTGAGCTACCTGGTCAAGTCTGTTCGAGTTGATGACATTTCGGAACTGAGTCTAGTTCCTTCGATATCAGTGTATTCTAGGATATGATTATATGATTTAAGCGCAGTTTTTTCCCAGTGCTATAACTCAATATTCTAACACTATCTAGTCAATTATAATAGTTTATATTATAACTTTATTAACTTGTCTTAATATTTAATGTATGTAGGACAAATAGTATATATACAAATTAGAGGTGTGCATCGGATCGGATTGGACGTTTATAATCCGACAATTGCCTAATGTTTAAAATCCGATCCGAAATTGTCTAATCCGAATCCGATCCGAGTTTTGATAAAGAATGCCAATCCGATCCGATGAATTCTTTTATAAAATAAATTTCTCATCCGAAATCCGAACGAAATTTTAACTTCATTTTTTATTGCTTTGCTAAAAAGTACTGCTAGAGCGATGAAGAATGACGTTTACAGCTTCTTCGTATCTCATCTCATTCTCAAGTTATCGCACTTAAGCTTTCTATATTTTGAGTTGTGACGTCACTATAGTTTGACTTGAGATAATTAATGGCAATAAAAAGAAAGTCTGATATCTTAGCGAGTATTTAATAAAATCCAGTGAAACTCGGTACACTTAGTGGGTCTACCCATATGAATATTTTTGGCAGATCATTTGGTGGTCATGGCAGCGCTGCACTAGTCCCCAGTCTTTTTCTTCCTTTTCACAAATTTCCTCCTGTAGACCTCTTGCAGAGGATGTTTGCATGTTATAACGGTTTAAACTGATCACAATACCTACACGTATTATAGTAATAAGCGACAATTGCAGAAATTACTATTTATTTCGTTGGAAATGGATCATATAGAAATTGGAAGAGAAAGGACGGGCGACGAGCGTGTTGCCATAACAACCATACAAACAAGCCAAATTGTTCACTTCGTTGCACCCACTAAGTGTGCCAAGTTTCATTGAATTTTATTAAATGATCATCAAGATATCAGATTTTCTTGTTATTGCCACTATTTTGAGTCAAACTAAAATATAGAAAGTGCGATAACTTGGGAATGGGATACGAATAAACTGTAAACGTCATTCTTCATCACTCCAGCAGTACCTTTTAATAAGACAATAAAAAATAAGGCAAAAATTTCGTTTCATAAGCACTTTATTAAATGTAAATATAAAGTATTTCACCTTGGTGCAATTTTATATATTTAACAAACTTCTAATAATAATATAATAATAATGTTTAAGGTTTAAGATTTTCGCTACAGTAGCGAACTACATCTACTTCGCTATAGCTAGTATACTATCCAACTTTGCATTTCAATGCATGTACGTCTCGTTTTTTTACTATTATCCCGTTTTATGTTTTCAAACTGAATCTTGAAATGAAACGGGAAGGAATATGACTTTCAAGAGCAAACTGAGGGATTTGAACTATTTCAAAGACTATTTAACTAAGTAGTTTGTCGGCGAAAAGCAGTTTTTATTAAAGCTCATGCAAAGATATTATATATGATAATATGATTATTACATATATGCATGTTATTTACTAGCAGCGAGCTGGATCCGAATGAGAAAAATTATAGTTTCCTATTTTTTATTGGGCTACCGTCAATATATTTTTCAAAATCGAGTTTTCCAGACATAATGAAAAATTGATGGCCGTTTTTCATTTCATTCAGAAAACAATCTTCTTCAAAGTGCGCACTTGTGACTCTACAATTATCGTGTAAATATTTTATGATTTTCTTTACTATATCGTTCCCTACTGATCCTATTAACCCATAATCCAGATCTGTGGCATTTTAAATAAAAAAATTATATTAAATCATTGATGGAAATTGATTTTTTTGTCGGTGTGTTAATTACAAACGGCTATTTAGTTATATAGCTACAAAAAATCGGGTGTAGATCAAAAATTGGGTGTAGATAAAAAGCGGACGGATAAAAGACGGACCGCGGACGGCGGACCATTTTATAAACACATGATTACTACCGCAACTAATTATAATACCCTAAATTAAAGTATACCAGCCTTAGATCTGTGCAATGAATATGTTTTCATCTGTTTGAATTTTTAGCAATGGAATTTAATTTAATCAGCATTCAATACATATGTATGATAGGAGGCTATTCGCCGTCTTTCGCGTGAAACGTTTGGAAATATTGCAAAAAAGCGCCTTAGTTTTGGTGCTTCTATATATAACTGCCCTAACACTGCCATTGAATTAAAATATTATTAGGGGGTGGGGGCTATTACATGACATTCACTTGCTGTTATTTTTCATACTTTAAATTGTGCTGACTTGTTTTTTTATATATAATGAAATTAATCCCCGTTTTACTTACTAAAAGGCTAACTTACATTACTATTCCACTGTATATAAATGTAGAACGAAATTATAACCTTCCCTAAGCCTTCAAATACATATGATATAATACCCAATCTTTACGCTGCACACATATATACATTTTTCAAACAGCTTGTTACACTGATTACTGTGTGACATTTACATAGCAGATATTATAATATATTATATTTACATAAATATGTCAGGAAAATATCAATAACTCAATACAGTTAAAGAAATGACAAATATATACAATTGTAAATATATACAATTGTGAACGTTTGCATGTCCAAACTTTATAAAAAATTCTCTTAAATCACGATCCATAGCCTATACTCAATACCTCCTACCTATATGTGCCTATACGAAATAAAACAATCGTTCAAGAGCCTTGAATGACAGAAAAAGATCGAGCAGCATTAGGAGGTTTAAAAAATTATTGGGCTCAATGAAAATCCACTCCATCAAATGATCGGCCCTAATACATAATATTTCTAAAATCCATATATAGAATAGTCGCATGCAAATCGGCCGTTTCTACATGTGAACCTCTTAGGTTTATAATTAATACGAGGATTATTTTCATTATAAAACAACAAGTCAGCACTATTTAAAGTACGAAAATGTCAGCAAGTGAATGTCATTTAATTCTGCCTAACAGAAGCTCCAAAACTGAGGGGCTTTTTTACAATATTTCCAAAAGTTTTCTGTGAACGACGGCGTATAGCCGATCATAAATATGTACTGAATCATTTAAATGCTGATTAAAAAATTCCATTGCTAAAAATTTGAACGGGTGAAAACATATTCATTTCACAGATCTAAGGCTGATATACTTTAATTTAACGTATATTATAATTAGTTGCGGTAGTAATCGTGTGTTTGTAAAATGCTCCGCAGTCAGCGGTCCGCCGTCCGTCCGTCTTTTATCTACACCCACAAAAAATCGCCATCTTACCAAAGAGGGTTTTTTGGAAAACGAAAAAAGGTCATAATTTTCGACGTTTCTTTATTGTTCTTGCAATTAATTGCTGAACTGCACGAGCAGCAGGTTCACCTGTACTTCTGAGTCGTTTTCTTTCCTCCAGCGACCTTTGTGCCATTTTGCCAGCAGATTAACTGCATGTCTTTGTCCAATCGCAACATCGCAAATAGCGTTAGTCGTATCCACGGCTTGCCTATACACTTATTAGCTGCATTTCAGTCATTGCGTGCCATCTTTCAGCAGGAAAATACTTGCAGCAGAGGAGAGCATTTTCAATCTTGGAGCAGCAAACAACGGACAATGTTATAGAAAATAATTATTAATACTTTCAATTTCAAAGCCACAGACCATTCGGGAGATATGGTTTACACCCAATTTTATAGATAATAATTAAGGGCATGCACAAACGTTTAAACGTAAACGAGTGTGAATGAAGAAGCAGCAGGTTCACCTGTGCGTCTGAGTCGTTTTCTTTCCACCAGCGACCTTTGTGCCATTTTGCCAGCAGATTACCTGCATGCCTTTGTGCCTTTGTTTGGAAATAGAGTGAAATCCGGACACGATCTCAAAAAATGAGTTCGCTCAAACACCCGAGATGGCAATAGCTTCTTTAAATAATTAGGAGTTAAATTATTGATAATTAGTTTAAAATTGAATGTCAGCTTGTGAGTTGTGGATAGTCTTACTTTGCGAACACAGACGTACGTAATTTCCTAGCGAGAAACGAGGAAATTACGTCTGGGTTCGCAGACTAGCTTGTGGATATAGAACTATACGAGTTTTCATATCTTCCCAACCGATTTCTGGCATCAAAGAATGCCTACTAGTACCCTTCATGGCACCCGTCACGATTTAGCCGCTTCATATTGCACAAACTCGAGGAGGTCGCTTTCACCATCTGTACAACCGTCCGTCCAAAAATATCTCCATATTCCATTACTCATTAGAGGACGAATTAGGGATTTGTATAATTTATTCAAGGTTTCCCTGTTACTTATTATATATTTCAATCCTTTAAGCATATTAAGTCCCTTACAAGCTTTTTCATAAACTAGGCTACCGCGACTTGACCAAAAATTAATGCATGACTGAAGTATTTATCACTTATTTACTGGAACAAGGCCAGCGAAGTGTTTTTTGACCA